TTGAACCAAAATCGATTGAAAATACTAGAAACTGACCAAGTAAGATCGGGTTGATTGATTTAATTGGTTTGATGAACAACTAGCATGTGGATACACATGTAGAAAGAGGAAAAGGCTACTCATACAGAAAAAAATATAATCATTTAAAGTGAAAGAAAGAGAGAAAAAGTAGGAATAGACATTTAAGGTGGTGTTTCCTACTTTGGTGGATTTTATGAAATTGAAATCACGTCAACAAAACAACATGTATTTTTAGTGTGAATCCATTCTCATTTTCTTGTTTGCCAAAAAAAAAAAAACACATTTTAATCAAGTGAGCCCATATAATATCAGCCAGGAAAATACATTGTGGGACCAATAAGGAATGCAAGATGGTTTCCAGATCCAGGAAGCTTCGAGTTTTCAATTTTTTTTTTCTTTTTGGTAATAGAAATTTCAATTTCTCAATCAAGGGAACATTGGGGTGGTGTTTGAGACCATTACTATTTTGTGGAAAAATGACTTTACATCACATCAGATTTTGAGCAGATGGAAAAAAGCATATCGGCATATGCTGTTTGGTTAAATATTTTTCTTAAAAAACAGTAAAAAAACATTTTGCCATTTTTTCATTTTTTTCAATGTTTTTCTTTTTCTTTCCACAAAGAGTTTTCTGATATGGTAGCTGACATGGCACCATTTTCTCAATAAACAACGATGGAAATCATATTTTTTCCCAAAAATTGCAAAAATAAAAAAAAAAACAAACATTAATCTATGGTGGCAATGAATGGAAATCATATGTGAACAGATCATTACTAATGTTCCACGTGAAAATTGCTTTTCTCTTCGATGAATAAAAATGAGGTGCTTCATCAGAAATTTGGAGGCCCAGCCCATATATTGTCAAGAAAGCTAGAAGTGTAAATACTAAATAGGGACTCATTGGTCCATAAGGCCTGGGTAAAATGGAAACGTATGGGTTAGGAATGGCAACGGGGCGGGGCGGGGCGGAGTGGGGTGGGGTTTTGCCTGCTCCGTACCCGATCCCAAATTGAAATTCCCTGCTCTATCTCTGCCCCAAACCCTGGTGGGGCTAAAAATCTTAACCCCATCCCTGTTCCATGGAAAATAGGGATATGATCCCTAACTTTGCCCCACCCATTTCGGTCATTTTTACTTGTATATTTATAAATTTATTATATTTTTTTCGTTTTTTGAAATCTACCCCACCCCAGAGTTTTGGGTTTTCCGCGAAGTCCAACCAGACGAAACGAAGCCCATGGGGATATGTCAAATTGCCATCTCTAGTATGAGTGTATAACTAAGGACCACAAATGTGATATCACCCACCTCATCCATTTGACACTTGAAGAGTAGACTGGGTTGGTGAATCATCGATGCCTGTCGTTGGGCCCCAAACTGATGGAATATGGTATGAATTGAGTGTGGCTCAAGAATGGCTGTGGTGAATCATCGATCAATGTTGATTGAGGACTGTTTGAAGATTGCTGAAGATCTAATATAGAGATGAATTATCCCCCACGCACATGGCATGAGGGAAATCAAACAGCTGATTGGCTAACTAGGAAGGRTGGATTCAAGAGTCATGCAAATTCTCAAACTTTGGGTTGGGATTTTTTTTTTTTTTTCCTAAACTATAGATGTATCAAACCCGGATCCGTTGGTCGCACCTCTGTGTATCATTTGATGATATGTAATCATGAATGAATATGTAGCAAGTGATACATGATAGATGCTAACTTTCTAAGTGAGATGTATCATGTATGGGGTAGAACTCTTCCCTATTTTGCATATTGCCAACCAGCTGGTTGGTTGGTAAGGTTTTCTGTTGATCGTAGCAGAGACTTGGAAATTGGGATTGAATCCTGTTTGCAGCTGGGTTGGGGGATGGGTTATTTCCGTTGTATAGTTTTTCAAAAGAAATTGAAAAAAAAAAACTCTTTTCTATTCTAACAATTTTTCTGCCTTCTCTACAAATAATAAAAAAATAAGGCCAAACCATTCATCCTAAATCAATGTTTTAAAAAACGACCCAGAAATGAAACCGATCACTGGTTTTCAGGTCAATGGTCCGATCGTCCGGTTTGAACAGATGATTCGTTTTGACAGGAAAATTTTAAAAATAAAAAAATGGTTAAAAACTATTGAACGGGTCRACGGTTCAAAGGTTCAATCGCCCGGGTCAACATTTTGTTGACTTTTTTAACGGTTTTTGACCAGATTCTGGGTTTATACAAAAACAGAACCAGTTGCCTGAACGGTTCTCGGGTCGAACGGTCCAACCATCTGGGTCAACGGCAGTTTGAAAACATTGTCCTAAATGATAAATCATAAATAGCAGAAAGTTCAACTCCTATCATATTTTTGCCAAGGTCCAAAATTTTGATAACATAGGCCCATCATATCAGTGGTAGACCTTTCATGGGGTGGGTTTGGGATTAACATTTTGTCAATTTTGAATTTGAATGGACCTAGTCAATGATTTAATATCGAGTGTATCATGTCGGTATTGGTTGCCAGCGGTACGAGATACACTACAAATAGAAACATATCTTGCAAGTCGTTTGTATCGCACCGATACAGATGTGTATCATAACATACCAATTGATATGCATCGGTACGGGATGATACACATGAAACACCACATCTCTCAATATTAAATAAAAAATGCACCTATGCCGATTTGAACTAGGTCATTCAGATGCGCTATCTTTTGCCGCACTTTAAACCATCAAGACAGGCTTTATCTTGTGATATTAAATAGAACAACATAATTTTTATTACTTTTTTTTGTGTTGGCATACAATTTAAACAAAAAAAACATGTGTTTATATTTAACAATTCTAACTATTCCAAGCAATAATATTCAAAAATAGTATTTTATAAATTAATAAAACAAATAATCTATCAAGTCCATATTTATATCAAAAGATGATTTTTAATATCAATAAAATTATACAAATAAAATATTAATAACAACATAATTATTTTAATATTTAAATTGCACATGATATACATCTTAAATTTTTATATATTTTTACAAATCATTAATTAATATTTTAATTTACATTAATAAGTAATAACAACATATTTATTATTTATAAAAGTGAAAATATTGTTTTATTTTGTAGAAATAAAAATATTAACAATGGAATAATTAGTTTAGTAATTAAAAATTATGAATTTGTATAGGATATGTATCTTAGAAATTTTAACAAATTTGAGATACTTTAAGTTAATATTATATTTTTGTGAATTATTAATTTATATTTTAATTTGCATTTGAGAATTTAATATTTAGTTGATTTTTTGTTAATATTAAAAAATTAAAATAGTAAAATAAAAAAAATAAGTGATATAATAATTAAAATATAATATGCACATGTGTTTAGTGTCTTGGACTCTTGATTGATGCATTATAAATAAAATTATATGATATATAGGCATTCTGATATATTAAGTGTAATATATTTTTTCATATACACCATTAAAATATACATTTTCTATGTATTTATATACTATTTTGGTCTTAAATTTTGTATTATTAATGTATTTGTAGAATTTGTATGTATTTCCCTAACATATCCATCTATTTTCATATTTTTCGTCCATATCCTCCATACATTTTCAAAACATATTCGAATTCGTATCTGTCTCCAAATTCATCCTTGAACCCAGTGTTTTAAACAGTAAATATGAAAGAAATAAAAGAATATTTTATTCACCTGAAATATGGATATATACACTATAAACCCTGAATTTAAACAGTAAATAGTAAATACCTTATTGAAGGTGCTTTCGATTCTTTACTTAGTAACCGAGAATGTGTTGGCCACATCAATCCTTGTCGTGTTCAAATTTCAAAAGGGGCTAGGCCTAGCTAGACATTTGTATCCAACTACTTGCATCCAAGAGACCAACCAAAGTTAAAGGAGGCAATGAACCAGCCGTATCATTTTTTGGTGGGCTTAGTCTAGGCCTGGATTTAAAACCGAATTTGGAGCTCCGTTGGGGGCATTTCCAAATCCGGCAGGTTTAATTTGAGTGATGATGACCTTGACCCAGACGGCTCGGCTCCATTATTGTGCAAGTGTCACAGACAGAAGCAACAAGGATACACCTCTGTAAGACTGTAACTAACTAAATATGTTGGGTTCACAACATTAATCCGGGTCAGAACCTGGGTGGTCCAAAACCCATACATCGCTTTCGTGGCCCACCACCACCCTTATCTCGTCCTTTTTCCAAGCGAAGTTGTTGAATTCTACACAGTAACTGCTCTCCTCTGGTTGGGGGTTGGGGCCTTTCAAGTTTCATCCTTGACCGACGACTTCACTTGTGCTTGAGCGCAAGTGAGTAATAGACCTCTTTCTTATTCTTTTGCTTTAAATTTGGGTTGCCGTCGTGATTCTGGTTTCAGAACCGGCAGCTTATTGTGTACTGCAACCTGTTTGTGTGCGTGTCTCTCTTCTCTATTCAACATTCAACAGCTTATTCTCTTTCACGGGGAAGCACACACACACACAGCTCAATGGAAGTGTTTTTCGGAAACAGGAATCACATGCAAGGTACGACTGTCACCAAACAAACCAAAAAACAAAAGAGAAAGGAAAATAAGAAACAAATCAATCGTTCATGGAGTGGGGAGGTCTCTCATTCTCTCTCTCTCTGTCTCCATTTCATTCCATACTCCATACTTCCATACTTCCATAGTTCCATAGAGATAGATTGTATTGCATGTACTCACGGGCTCACGGCCTCAGGGGGTAGCGTGTATCGTAGTGATAATAATAACAATAATAATAGCTGTAGGACGGTGCCTACTTCCTTCCACAGGGAGGAAATAAATGCAAATATAAAATAAAATAAGAATAATGTGATGAATGGTAAGGTTTTTATTTTGTAACTTGTAAGGGTGTTCTGGTCATTTACTTTGTTTAGTTTATGTGAATTGTGAATTCGTCTCTCTCACATGATCACATCCAAATTCCAATCCTCTCTCCAAACACAACTCCTGTCGCTCTCTTGGTTACAGTAAGACAGTTTTTGCTTCTTGGTGACTAATTAAATGCAGGTCCTGATCCTCTCTTTCTTCAATGTTCAAACAAATGATGTCCTCCCTTTTTGAAAGAGCTACCACGACAGTGCATAGAGAGGGTGAGAGTGAGAATCACGTGACCTGCTGCCTCTGTTTCTTCCCTTTTCCAAAGGTCAAAACCCAACTAACCTACCCACCTCCTCCTTTTGTTCTTCTCCTCTACATATTTTCTTTCTCTTTTGTTTTTTCTGAGTTTCCCTTTCTTCAATGGCCTCAACCGCTTCAAGATTCATCAAATGTGTTACAGTCGGAGATGGGGCTGTTGGGAAGACTTGCATGCTCATCTGCTACACAAGTAACAAATTCCCCACTGTAAGCCCCTTCTTTATCTCAAGAATCCATCTGGGTTTGAGCAGTTTTTCTTTGTCTATATATATAATCAGTGGTTTCCTCTCCTCAAGCGCTTATGCTTATTCTTCCCAAAACTTTAATCCTGTACCTGTAGGACTATATACCAACAGTTTTTGATAACTTCAGCGCCAATGTAGTTGTCGAAGGAACTACTGTCAATTTAGGCCTCTGGGACACTGCTGGTAAAATTTTGCGAAATACTGGAATCAATTCTGTCTTCAGAAGTTTTCATTTTACCATAAAACATACAAGCCAAGGAAAACCGGTTTTTCTCGTAAAGTCTTTTGCTGAATTCAGTAATTTGTGTATTTTATTATATTATTATATCTATGAATTTTAAGTTTTGTTGTTTGCTGATTTGCTGTCGTGAAGAAAATGTTACTTCTGTTGGTAGGACAAGAGGATTACAATAGATTAAGGCCCTTGAGCTACAGAGGAGCGGATGTGTTCGTCTTAGCTTTCTCGCTTGTTAGCCGTGCAAGCTATGAGAATGTACTGAAAAAGGTACTGATTCCTGAGGATTGTGCTTTTATCCCTTGTTATTTTGATGGCATTTTGTGTGTATATGACTTCTTATACATAATTGCTTTATCAGTGGATCCCAGAACTTCAGCATTATGCTCCCGGAGTCCCTGTTGTTCTTGCTGGCACTAAATTGGGTAAGCTAGGTTTGGAAGCTCAGACAAATAATAATTCCTCACCACCCTCTTAGAGAATGTTTTTCTTCTCCAAATTTCTAAATTAACTTACTGTTTATCTGCCATACTTGATCCCTGTTTGTACTTTGGGTGAAAAGCATTATGTTACCTTCTATAGTTTCCTTTTATTTCTTGATCCACATTCAAGGAACCAACCTGTTACTATTAATATTGTTTTGAATTTTACGACCATATCATTCATTATTGTTAAAATAAATGCCACGATCACATAATGAACATTGCAGAAAGGTAGGAGCTACAAAATATTGATAGAAAGTTTACAACATTATGTCAGAATATAGAAACAAGCATTATTTCTCTCTTCATTCTTTTAGATGTTAGAAGATTCCAGATTTTTGTGAACTGAGAAGTGACTAAATGGCTAATTTTGTAATCCAAGGATTGGGATCTAGCAGTAAGACTTTGTTATCTATCCTTCTCCTTTTTAATTAACTTTCAATTCTAGCAATAACCACCATTAAAGCATCTTTTGAGCCCTTGCAAAATTTGCAACTTGAGCAATAAGGTTTCCTTGTCTGTTCCCATGTAGCACTCTCCTCTTAGGCGTTATGATGGCACCACACACAGCTTTGTAGGATGTCACCACTATTTTTTTTGGTAACCTTGCTATTGACAGGATGAATCACCATGAAGGAAACAGTTACTCCTATCTTTCAGATGTTTTTGCCTTTGGGATCTACCAGACTCTTTCAGATATGAATTAGTACGGTCACCTTGTATGTGGATGAGTCAATCCAATAGAGAATGGCTTACCCCTGACAGCGATGAGTAGGGAGGATGGGTTGATGGGTGACCTAGACTCAACTTAGCCTTAATACCAACTATTTGGTCTTGGCTACAAGAATCCTGTCCAGATATTGTGCTCTATCAAGAGCTAAGCACAAAAATAATTCAGGATTTACATTCATATTGGATTTGGTAAAAGTTTTCATATCAGCTGAAAACCTGACACAACCCTCCTCTTTGATGGGCTTCAGGTTGGCAGACAAGCAGTGTAAGACAATCAAACAGTGGTGAAGTTATGGTGGGTCATCATCATCATCATCCTCCACTTCCTCTACATGTAGGATGATGAGCACCTGTGCACCAGCTTAACGGGGAGCCATTACTCAATGTTGGTCCCAGTTATCTGGGGTCTTGGGAGGGGTAGACTGGATATGATCCTAACCTTTGGCACTAACTAGTATCTTATCTGTGCTGTCCATGGTAACTTTTTATAGCTATTAGGTATAAGTAGAGCAATCAGGATGACATCCGAAGAGCAATAATATTTCTACCTAGTTATGCTAACATGCTCTTGAAAAAATTTACATGATATGTATATTTTATTCTAATGGGTGAAGTATGAAACTGTAAAGGTAGCATATTATACGCTTATGCAAGTTCTTGATCAAGAATTACAGAAGTTTAAATCATGTTGCATTTTGGATTTTGGTACAGAATTTTGCTAGCATTAGATTTTCTTGATTATTGTCACCTTAAGATCAACTCTAATGAATCATTCATCTATGATACAAATAAACTCACTGCATGATGTTCATTATAAATAAACTATTTGGACTTTTTAAATTCTTCTTAAACTATATCTGCTTGGTCAAATCTTTAGAGTGATTCTTTGTATTATCTTCTATCATGTACTCAAAAAGGGCATTGATGAAACCAACATATAGCTTTCTTGGGCAGTTATGATAAACATAACATATATCTCTTAACTAATGTGCTGGTTGAATTTCCATTTTTTTCCTGTTTTCATGGCTTCATGGTTTATAATGCTTGTGTAGATCTTCGTGAAGATAAGCACTATTTAGCTGATCATCCTGGAATGGTGCCTGTAACTACTGCACAGGTGTAATTTCTTCTCCATTCAGAACATGAAAACCTTGTTGTTGTTGTGGTCTTTCATTCCAAAAGGTTGAAATTGTGTAACTTGTAAATATAATGATTTTTGTTATCAGGGAGAGGAACTCCAGAAACAGATTGGTGCTGCATATTATATTGAATGCAGCTCAAAAACTCAGCAGGTACTGATAAGTTACTTCTTACTTTTGCAACTTTTCTGTAATTGTAGGAAAACTAGAGCATTCATCTACAGAGCCTACGTAGTACTGGTTCCTTTGGAGCATGTGGCTGTTTCCCTGAGTAGGGGGGAATTTCCTTTAGGCAGGTCCAGCATGAGAGAACTGCTATGTTAAAATAGCCTAATCAGATGATGCTAACTGTAATTTTGGACATAGTTTTGTCTTGATGGGATGGAATATCATGGACTCCAAGTGATGCTAGAATGGAAGCAAATCTTACACAAGCACAAATACCTAAAGTCTCTAGCATGCAAAGGTGGAGGCAGGGTATTCTGAAGTATATAAAACCATTTTGTTGTTGATACTATGACAAGTGGCTAAGATATCAGAATACTTTTGTCTTTTTCTCACTAATCAAGAACAAGATAAAGATGAAGAGTATATATTTAGTTCCTTGTACAAGAACTTAAGAGTTAAGAGAGAAAAGAGAAACGCTCACAATTCTGTGTCAGGACTCAGCATCAATGATATTATACTCCATACAATAATATAGGCAAAGCTACTGCTATTTTTAGTCTCCACAAGCTCCAGAAACTAATGGGAAGCTTTTAGATGATGAGATGCAAAAATGGCCAAACCAAGCTTTAATTTCCGCATTGCAGATTGTCATCTATTGTGCCATTTCAATTTCCTAAAAACTTTTTTTTTTCAACGTGTACAAATTTGATGCTTATGACTAAGCTTGAACAGGACTTACAAATTTGAGTTGATGCCCTTGTTATTTGGAATTTTTTATGGAATGTGATACTCCATATGAAAGTCCAAAAGAATTTCCCTCTTATTTGGGATGGTTAAGACTATCTGATTTAATTTAGGCTTAATAGGTAGGTCTGTTGACTGCAAAACGTAGTCCTGTTTCACATTTCTATCCAATCCTATGTGCAGAATGTCAAAGCAGTTTTTGATGCAGCAATCAAGGTAGTAATCAAGCCACCACAGAAACAGAAGGAGAAGAAAAAACCACGCCAAGGATGTTCTCTATGGTTGGTATATTCATCTTATTCAATACTTTGAAAAGCTTGTTTCCATTTTGGGTATATATATATATCTTGGCTAAACATTTTTGTTGTTTCATGTATTTTATGAAAATTCTGTATAATGTTTCATTTATGCATGAATTGCCTTGAATATTATATGTCTAATTAAAAGGTGCTAAACTTAAGTCCCATGAAGTCATTTTTAGTTGATCTTATTACGGATTTATAATTTATGATTCTTTCTACATCTGGTTAGTCCGAGTAGAATTGTATCCAGATATACTAAGATATAAATCAGATATGCTGTGCGAGTCCAACTGGAATATACTGTTCATTATCTTTCCGTTGTCACTGAAGGGGTCAGATGAAATTGAAGGTCCATTAGCAGCCTTCACTGAAGGAAATTAGGCACATGTATGATAAGATATTTGGGCTAGAAAAGAATTGCTTGTCTGGGTGGTCACCAACATGATATTCCATTTTTATCCTGATATTAAGGTTCCCTGCTCCTGCCATGTCAATTGAGAAAAGTCATGCACCTCTAGCAATAATAGCTTGTTGCATATGAGATGTGAAAAGCAAGGCTTAGGGCTTGGTTTACAAGACCTCTATTTGCATCCACAAACATGATATGTGGGATTTAATTGGGCCTTGGAAGAACCAAGAGGTATATGCACTAGTAACAGTAGGAAAGATTAGAGAAACTCTTTTCTTGTAGACTGTGAGACCAAAATTGAAAGTAAATTTTGAATATAAAACTGAGGTGTTAAACTCTGTTTCAACCTTGGTTTGGTAATTAAAAACTAAATATTAGGACCTCCTACTTAATGAAGAGTTTTTATTCATCCTAAATTATCAATTTAGTAGTTCCCTTTTTGGCTGGGATTACCCAATCCCAAATAGTTGGGATTAATGGTTGAGTTGAGTTGATTTGCGAGAAATTTTTGGCAGTGATTCATCAGTGGTTCCTTCAGTACAATAATATCCCAATTTTTTCTCCTTACTCATATTTTTATAATTCCCCACATGATTGCCATTTCTTTTATGTGTAAAAATAATTTAACTACAAAATACTCTATGATGCCAAGTTAATATTTATGAATCATTTTCCTTCCCAATTCCCATAACCCAAGTTTCATGTACTGATGTTGTCTTACTTTGTTTTAGATTCCTTACAAGCATATCTGTTATGTATGCAGTATGTATATTTTATATAATATGTATGGACATTTATTATGTGTCTGCCTATTAGAAAATATCTATAAAAAATGCTTGGTGTACATAATTTCTAAATGAAAGTGTATTAAAAAAAATTGGCAATAAAAACCACAATTGCATTAAAAATGCTGAGAGCACATGGTTACTAATGTTAACATAATGGTTTTTTCCTTTTTTTATATTTCTAATTTTTTAGTTGTAAGCTCCTCCTGTTAAAGTAATTTTCATGGTCTCAAATGCAGGAATGTCTTTCGTGGCAGTAAATTCACTTGCTTCAATTGAAGTTCATTTTTCTTGACAATGTTTTAGCACATAGGTCACTTGATCCAGCAGCTTATTATGCTATCAAGAATCTCCCTTCTGTTTTGTTAGTGCTCCAAATCACTATGACCGTAATTTTTCATGCACTGTTCTGATACAAATGAAGTAATGAACAATTTTTCTCTCAAAAGATTGTCACACACAGAGTGACTGGTTAATACTTCTTAGGGTTATTTTCTAACTGCTGGAAGGAAAGGATGGTGCCACACCTAGCTTATTTATTTCTGCAGTGTAAAAAGTTTGGAGTTTGAGTTTTTTTAGTTGTAAATTTTTTAGAGAAGAAGTGCATTACAAGTTTCTGTTACATGAGATTCTTTGCAGTATAACAAAGTCCCAAAGGAAAACTGAAAAAGGAGAATGACCCTGAACGTTTTGATATTTCTATGAATGTTTGTTAGAATAATGATTTGGATTTCAGTGGCTTTGTTCTCGATTATAAGTGCATTGCAAGCTTGCCTTCCACTAGCTTCTTTTAACTTTCAAGTGCCCTGTCTGGTAGCCAAGTGGGACCAGAATTTCCGGGGAACGGGGCACCTTTAACAAACACTGCACCTTTCTAAGGGCCCATTTGGTTCATTTTATTTGGAGGAATACAGGTCTGGAATCAGAATTGGAATGGTCCATAAGACCATAATGTTTCCAGCCGTTTGGTTGGGTGGAATAGGATTCCCATTTCTGGTTCTAGTGGAATGGCATTCCGACATTTGAATGGCCATTCTAGTCTTCTCCCTTAGGAATGAAAATCTCATTTCAGTCTGCCAGAAAAAGAAAACAGAAAAAAAAGGAGATTGACTTGAAAAACCCCCAAACCTTAGGATCCATTTGGTTTGCAGGAATAGGGGTCTGGAATCGGAATTGGAATGGGTTATTCTGATTCCAACTGTTTGGTTGGGCAGAATTAGAATCCCATTCCCATTCCTGCTGGAATGCCATTCCCCCATTCGAGGGAATGGCCATTCCCTGCCCCCTCTCTTGGGAATGGAATTCCTTTTCTGTTGATTTTAATTTCCATTCCCATTCCTTTYTGAACCAAACAGACTATGGGAATGGACCATTTCAATTCCAATTCCGGAGGATTTCGATTTCGATTCCGACTACGAACCAAACGGACTCTTGGTTTTTCTACCCGATGCCACCCTCCTTGGGAGCCATGCATATCTTATGGAATCTATTCTGATTCCCATCCAAACCAAATCAGGTGAAGAATAGGTGATTTTGGTTCAAACGGACCCTAAGGTCTTACTTGAAACTGTTGTAAGGTGCACTTTTCATCACTTCTAGACTCTCTTCAACATTGTCATTGTCGTTGTTGTTTGGCTTCTAGGAGGTCATCTGCCGATGTTGTTATAAGTGGATGCCCGTTTGGGAGGAGACCACATAGCATTTGGTCACACATTAGGAATATCTTTAGCATATGTAAAATTTATTGGGAGATGTTCTCAGTGTGTGGTTAGATTTCCGTGCTTTCAGAGTGTGTATAGAGTAGTGTTTTTGAATTGCCGTTGACTCAGACAGTTGGACTGTTTGGTCCAAGAACCATGTAAGCATGGCCCAAGAACCATACAAACAATCGGTTCCAGTTCACCCTTAACTTGGTCTTTGGCCAAAAGCTATTGATTTGATCTATGACCAACTGACCCGGACAGTTGAACCATTGACCCATTTGACCCATTCAATGATTTTGACCAATTTTATTTTTAAGTTGGAATGGGCCATCCATTCGAATGTTAAACCATTGACCTGAAAACCAGTGACGAAAATGATTTTGGTTCTGAATCTGTTTTTAAAACCTTGGTATAGAGATTTTGCTTGTAAGGAATCCCATCACATTTGGGAGGGCCCAAGCACAGCTGCTTTACTTTTCCGAGAGGAGCCCCACATGGACAGCCTATAAATTTGGTGAAAAACTCAAAAACTTTATCAGCTGCCAATCAATCCTTTGAAGGACTGCCCATTTCAGTCTCTTTGGATAAGGCGTTTCAAAGTAGTTGGACCAGCTTAGCTGAATCTTTCTTCAGCTCAGCCTTTCAAACGGAAAAGGATTAAGGGCAAACAATAACTTACATGCCTTACATATGGAGGCCAGGTGTTTTGGAAGTGCTAAGGTGATTTGAATGGTGTTTGGCACTGAAGTTACAAAATAAGATGTCTTGGTACAAAACTCACTGTACAGTATTTTATTGTGGTTTTAAATACACAGACACCATTAGTTACCACATAAGACAATTAAATATGTGTTTTGTACGTTAAAATCAAATTGGGTATGTGATATTTATGTCCAGATTCCAAACATTTGCTCTTAAATTATGGTGCCGTGATTAGACATGCAAAAATAAAACAATAAATGCTGCATTATATAAGGAGGCTAAGCAACTGCTTATATCCAGCTAACTGCCATAAATGGGAAGAAAAAATGGTTGTGGTGGGACGACAGGCGGTAGAGAAAAAGTGTGTTCTAAATCTAAACCTCGCAGGAAATTGAACTATGAAGGGAATTGGTTAATAGTTGGAATTATAATTGGTCAAAATGGATTCTCATTCTCAGGGGAAGGGGAGGGAATGGTCATCTTCTCATATTGGGGAATGCCATTTCATCAAGAGTTGGAATGGGTATGGAATTTCGATTACACTCAACTAAAGAGTTAGAATAAAAAATAGACCATTCTAATTTCAATTCTGGACTCCTATTTCTACAAACCATTCGGACCCTGAATTTTCAAAAGATGCCTGCTATCTATTTGCTAGCTAGTTATTGATGAAGTTAAAATAGGTGTGATTAGCAAGTGATGATGCTGGTAAAGAGATGAAGTTATTGGTTTGTAGTCTCTTCACATTCAATTTATGCTTCTTTCTCAGTCTCCATTTTTTTTTTGTAACTTTCTCTTCAGTTTTCTATCCTCTTTAGTTTCCKTTTATATTCAATTTGGGAGGACTGCAAATACAAATGTTTTCAGTACAAAACCTTGTACATGGTATTTCTAAACAAAACATTGCATTTGCTCTCTCTCTCTCTCTCTCTCTCTCTTTATATATATATATATATATATATATATTTAGTATTTCGACTGTTCCCAAGCTGAGCCTAAATTATCATCCAAATTAAATAAGTCACTTTCTTCAACATTTATCAAATGCAGCACATACATCATTTAGATTTGATCTCAATAATTCATTTTGCTTTCTCTCTCTCTCTCTCTCTCTCTCTCTATATATATATATATATATATATATATATATTTAGTATTTCGACTGTTCCCAAGCTGAGCCTAAATTATCATCCAAATTAAATAAGTCACTTTCTTCAACATTTATCAAATGCAGCACATACATCATTTAGATTTGATCTCAATAATTCATTTGCATTGACTTCAAGTAGCATTGTTTACGCCTGGTCCACTTAGGACCAGGCTTGGTAGGGATGGTGGTTGAGAAGGGCTCCACTGTTTTTTTTTTTTTTTTTAATATTTGCTAAACAAACGCCTTTGACAAAATTGCAGTGTTTGGTAAGTATTTTTTTTTTATAATGTTTTAAGCCAAAAGATGGAGTTGAGAAAAAGCTAAGGGACATATTTCCACTCTACCTGTCTTTTTTTTCGGGAATTAAACAATAATTTTAACCATTAAAAAAAAAGTTCTTAATGATTTAACTGTTCCTCCTCAGCCATACGTATCCATTCATGGYACACCCCCTAATTACTCAAACAAATCAGACATCCCTATTTTTTTTTGCTCCATCCGTATTTGGTTTAATTTGTAGATGGACATTAGAATTTGCAATTTGCATTGTCTTTAATCGGATCGAATAATTTTGGGTTGGTATAGGCATTATTGGGTCAGAAAATGAGGAGTGTTCTAGCTAGACTTAATCATGACAGTATGTATAGCTTGATATTGAAGCAGTTAAACTTTTATCATTATATCCCATTGACAATTTCCCTTTTCACCCATGTCCTAAGTCATGAAGTTCTTACTCAGATGGCAAATTTGCGATTTGATATGGGGTTTTTACTGTTCAGTCCACCACTAGAATTCGGGTAGGGTAGTATTAGTTTGGAATTAATGCCAATTCACGGGTGAATATGAGTGTTATAGGTGGAACTATTTATAATTTTAAATTGTTAGAGGTTTACGGTTCAAATTAGAATTCTGAAATAAAGTACAGTCTAAAAAGAGGGGGGAGGGGGTGTTTGACAAACACAACTGAGATATCAACAAAATGAACACCATACCCCCTAAATTTACTCTGAATGTGTTTGGTTTGATACCTTTTCTCTCCTTTCTCTACTTTTTCCTTCAAACCAAATATAGGTTTCATTCAGCAGTTTATAAAAACCTTGCCATTTGGCGGTTGGGGGCCAACAGCCTAGAGTCTTCCAATAATGGACCGACCCCATAAGGTAAGGATATGATGTTAATCACATAAATAGAGACAATTAGTTAGTATTGGCAGTATTTGAGTATTAATGCACGAACATAACATCACCGTGGTGAGACCGTGTACCTAACATTTAAATTTAAAGTTCATGAAATATTCTCTTTATATAATAATTAATGTCCTTATGTGCTGCCAAAGAGACAAATAAATAAATCATGCACCCTCATTGTAGCTTACTGGCCTTTACCTAGAATTGCTATTGCTAGCCGTTACGTTTGGTCTAATGGCACGCGTGTCCCAATTTAAATTTGAATGCTATTCCTCATTCATAAATTATATTAATTAATTTGGATCTATTCTCCCAACTGATAATTTTTGAACATTTATTATTAATTATGCTTATATATTTCCTATAGAATATGGGCCTCACGTCAATACAACGATCATTCAAAAAAACTTATTTTTATTTTCAAGAAGACCCTTGGCCTTTATCATCGAAATTGATTATATTTGCATATACCAACATAACTGATAAATAGACCTTCATACATTAAAAGAAAAACACATAAATAAAAGGCAAGAGGAAGCTAACGTACATACGTAAATAAATATTTATTAACCCCACCAAAGATGTATTTGAATCGTACGTTCGTCCTGGTTTTTGGAGAGGCTCCATGCACTGATGCACGTCTCTTACTCTTATTGACCAAAATACCCACCGGTTTTGACTCGTCTAATATTACTGTCTATTAATTAATTAATTTATGCCTTGAGGTTGAGGAGATATGTGTCCAAATCGCTGAAGGTCTTCACTGCAAATTCCTGTATGAGGTTGGGCTCTGGAACTTCCTCAGTTGCCTTCTCATATTCCACAGACCATTTCACACAACTCCCTTCACCCTTGGGAACAACTTGGAGACTAGCTTTAAAATGCTTGTAGAAGTTGCTGATATCTCCGTCTATGACAGTGTAAGACACAGATTTGCTTTCTTCATCGGCGGTCTCGACCCTCTCCTTAGAAAACGTTATGATTGGAATCCCTGTAATTAAATTACTATCAAAATGTGTAATTACGAAACAACCAAGCAATTGATTTTGAGATGTAAGTGGGGCAGTGAGAGCTGCATGTTTTGTTTTACCTTCAGCATATTTAATGAGCCTGACGGAGCCGACGCTCTGGCCATCTCCTTCCACGATCTCGATACTCTTGTATTGCTCAGGGAAGATCTCGGGGAAGAGTTTTGTAGACTCCTTGATTGCACCCCAGAATTTATCTGCAGGGGACTTCACCTCCACTGCTATCTCAATCTTACTCATTTTTGTATGAAGATCGAAGCAGCAGCAAGGAGGATGCAGCTAAAGGGATCGATAATAGAGATCGAAATGGGTGTGTGTATGAAAAAATTATGAGGGATTGCATGTTTTTATATAGTGATAGACTGTTAGTACGTGCATTTAATATATTATGAATGTGGCTTTAAATCCTTCAAAACTATTTTCAACGACCATCCACCCCAACTCTCTTCTCTATTTCCGGTCAGTTGGTTGAATTTCTTTATTGAATTGTGGATGGTGATGGTGAAGAAAAATGATGTATGGGTTCTTGCTCCGATCCACAACCTCGCCCCATTTATTTAATCGGGTTCACGTTCCTATATATATATATATATATATATAAATTAATTAAAGGACTAGTTTTAATATAGTTAAGTTTTAATTTTTAAAAAAGTGGGTTAGACATAGAAGAGCCCTTCCAGCATGATATCAACCCACTCATCAATCTGACTGAACCGGGCTAATCCAATCCTCATTGAGGTTTGAGACTAGTGGAATCTTAATTACTGGAATTTTCCGGGTTCATGTATGGGGCTCCGACAAATCAAAATAATAAATACTAATAGAAACAAGTAAGGGGGCCGGGGGACTACATAATTGTATCCACCTCATTGACCATCTACAAAGAATGGAATTAAATCAATTATTAAGATGGTTATCATCAACTTATGATCGCCAACGACCAACGACACACATAGGTGGTTCATAAATTTTTTGTATGGTTAATTAAGGCCCACCGGTTTGGTCACTCTTTAAGTCTTCATGTTAAATGTTGGCCATTTATAGATCAGATCTGTTCACGGGTCGGGCTTATTGCATTGGGCTCGGGTTTCGGGCTAGGTGAATTCCAAAAATAGATTCTTGACAAATGCTCATCATTACTACCAAGACCATGACAAAGAAAAAGGATTTTGTTCACCAATTTCATATTCGTAGAAGATCTGGTTAGAGCTGCAATTGGATTGGATTCGGCTCATATCCCAATCCGATCTAAACTTTATTTGAATTCCATTCGTTTCGGATTGGATTTGGATTTAACCAGCATCCATTTCATTAATTATATTGAAACAAATTAAAGTTAAATCATTTTTTAAATAATGCATATGGAATAAATTAATTTAAATATAAAACACTAGATTCATTATTATAAATTTTATTTAATTATATAGATAGCCTAGCCCAAGAGGAAGAGGAGGATGAATTAAGTGTTTGAAACATTTCCCCCCTTTTCCTAAAGTATTTTAACAAGATGAATGCAAGAATGTAACAATAAATGTGAAGGCAAAGTGTGTGTACCATGCCTACAATGCAACAGAAAGTGATGTATTGTAATCAACTAAACAAGTTAAGTAGTAATAAACAAGAAAAATAAAGATTACAGAAAAAATAAAAGCATACAAAGATTTTTATAGAAATTCGACTACTTGGAACCTATGTTCTCTTCTCATGCCACCTCTTGATTTCAATAACAAACTGACTGGACTTCTGAGTGTTGGTTAAAATGTTACAACCAATAGAGTTTGCATGTGTTTGCTATACATTCCTTTGTATTATCCTTATCAACACTAGTGTTCCCTTCTTTGAATACCCCAAATACGAAGGACAATAACAGCTAATGCACATGTACAAATAAAATGCCTCTCTTCTTTTAATAGATTTTTCACAAATCACCTATAATCTATTCATGAACAATGTCAACAAAAACACATGCATTCATCTTAACCTATAGTTGACTATTCACTACTCAAGACCCTAAAACCTTGCATAACTACATTCTAATCATCCAAATTTTATTAACTTAAGCTTTCAAAGTAAGATTAAACAATTTTTKAGTCCAAAATCACCTAAGAATCAAACTTAGTACTAACAATTGGTCTCTAAGGTCCAAATTGACCGAGTTTGGTCATGTTTGAGCTCATAGTGTGTATCTAATGCTCATGATTTACATCAAGTTCTAAATATGACATGACATATACTACTTGGATTTGGATGCTCTTCTTCTTTTAGCTCATGGTAGCCAATATCATCTTGGAGAGGTTTAACAAAATTGCTAGCTGCCCAACATTTTATCCATACTTTGCTTCTTCTAGCATTTGTTAATTATTTTTAGTTCAACGGAGATAATTGCACACTTAACACATTCACTAGTACTTTTAGTGAATTTGTTATCATCAAAATACATAAGACCAACATTATTTATATGAATATTTGTTAACACAATTATTTATACAACTATACATATCATCATCATCATCATCTAAGCCTTGTCCTAATTATATAGGATTGGCTACAGTGCTATTATATCCATTGACAAAATATGAATGCTTAAATCATTTCTTATTATTTCCACCCAAGTCCTTTTTGGTCTATCCCTAGAGCTCTTTTGGTCCTTTCAACTTGTAACAGATCACTTCTTCCAGTGAGTGCTGTAGATAGTCTTTTATGCATGTTACCAAACCATATCAATTTAATTAAATAAGATGAAGTCAAATCCATGTTCAATCCAACTGTCTTTGATGGTGAACCCAAGTAATTGGGTCCTATCTTTGATAAGGTGTTGGACTATGTTGTTAGGTCCTAAGTTAAGTGATTTTATTATTAAACACTTCCCCACCACCCACCCACAACTTAAGGTTTGATTTCTTTTCTTGGACAACATCATTCATAAACATTTCCCTTGTCTTTCCTTTAATTTAGTTTTTGATAGACATGGATAACAAGTCTGGATTTGGTCCCAACACATGGTTCCAACAGCCATTGTAGTTGTATATTGGGCACTTTTGCCATGAAGGACAAGGGAGATATTCCCAGTATACGGCTGCAATGGTTGTTGGGACCCTGCATTGGGGTCACATCATCTAAATTGGCTAAAGTGAGTGACTAAGTTTTGATCTAGTCCCAACAATCACTGTAGTTGTATATTGGGCACTTTTGCCATGAAGGACAAGGGAGATGTTCCCAGTGTACGGCTGCAATGGTTGTTGGGACCCTGCATTGGGGTCACATCATTCAAATTGGCCAAAGTGAGTGACTAAGTTTTGATCTAGTCCCAACAACCATTGCAGCCATACATAGGGAACATCTCCCCCATAAAGGATGAGGGAGATGTTCATGATGTACAATTGCAATGGCTGTTGAGACAAAGGATTAAAATATACATGTGTTAGATATCAAACATGGGCATGGTGCATATTGATATGACTGATACTCTTTTTTTTATATATATATTTTTGGTTTTTATTTTATAATAATTAAGGTATAAGACTTTTTAAAAATTTTCAAAATATTTGTATATCAGTATATCCAAGCATATATGGATACATTAATACCATACGGGGATATCATATCAATACTTTAATCATTGTTTTCTTTGTTTTTTTTTTGAGAGGAATACTTTAATCATTGGTTTAGACCCTGTATTGGGGTCAGATCCATACTCATGGATAACAGTGGCCATTTTTAATGTCAAGTGTACTGGGCCAGAGTGAGTTTGTATCTAGTCCCCACAACCATTGTAGTTATACGTCCAGAACATCTCCCATGAAGGTCTATGATGAACAGACAGTTTTAGTTTTTTTTTTTTTTGTGGTATTTGAACTATAGACAGATTTGATCTGACCACTCAGACCACCTGGTCCACCTCCACCATGTTATTCAGAGCTTACAATTTACTCAAGAATTACATTTCGTGGATTGAAGCCACAGACTCCGGCAAGCCCCGGTTTATGGTATACATGTAGCAGTAGCACACAGCACACTCATGTTAGCGAAAAAGAAGGGAAAAGGGGGATCGATACTTCATTTATCTTCTGTAAGATAGAGGGTGGCAATACATGGTGATGTGATGGACTCATGGCAATACATGAGTTATGAGTACTGTCTACCACTAATACTGCCTACTGTTCAGTGGGACTCAGGGCAGTACATGGTGATGAAGGTAAGCTTTGACTATATATAGAAAGGTGATTGATCTCTCATTCTCTCCTAATAATCGAATCAAAACCTCTTTGTTTCTATCAAGGTAGATAGAAAATGGTCTTAGACACAAGGAAGGCCCAGCACGTCCACAAAACACCCATAAAAGCATTCCCCAATGCCTACCAACATTTGCTAATCAGTTAGCAGTATGCTGCTGCCTTCTCCTCCATAAAGCACATAAAATTGCGTTTGGTAAGAGTGAAAACATTGAAAATAAGTTTGTAATTTGATTTAATTTTGTAAACATTTGGTAAAAATACATGAAGATAAAAGTGGATACATTTTTTAAAGCATCCCCCGCACCAACTTCCACGTAGATCCGCCCTGTCAGTCAGTCAGTCTCAACTCTCGACTCTCGAGGATGGAACCTCTTTTTATCGTCAACTAAAAGATGGCTCTGGCCCTCTTACTCATTACTCATTAGTGTTTATCTTCCGTTTTCTTCATTTTGTGATTTAAGGACTCCGTAGTCAGGGTCACGGATGCTCCCCCATAGCCATACGGCGGGATTTGTATGCGGAATTAGTGCATCAAAATTATCAGCGTAATTTAAAATTGAAAATTTTAAATATTTAAATTTACTACGATAACCAGATTGAGATCGAAGACGTTTAAGATTACCAAAATCTAATTTTGCAAGTTGTGGGGTATTTGGAAGGTGAATTTTGGAAATGAAATAATTGAAAGCTTCCTCTCAACGGCTATCTTTCTCGCTCTGGTCACAACACAAAACGAAAAAAAAAAAAAAAAAGGAAGAGAAATGGAAGGAGAAGTTGCATCTTCTCTTTAGACTTTACTTATCAAACACACCCACCTCTCCGGTCTCCACCACTCCTCTTCGGTCTTCCTCAGTCAAGCAAGCATTCCTCTTTTTTATTCTTTCTATACACTTCCTTTCCCTGCCTTATTCTTCAAGAACCTTTTTTTTTTCTTTAATTATTAATTGGTTCTCTGTCTCTCGACTCTCGCTTGCTCTCTCATCCAACCCACAACCCAGTTTGTTTATTTCTTCTACTCGAGAAGTTAAGGTAAGTTGGTAGATGCGGTTGTTGAGTTTTCTTCAAATCTAACTTCACTTGCTCTGCACGCACTCTTGATAGGATTCTTACACTMCCACCCATTTTCCTTATATCTTCCAATGTTTTCAATTTTCGTCATTTTTGGTTTGAGAAAGAAATCAGATTTTTCATTTATACGGGTCCAAATGGAGTTCTTTTTTCACTTTTAGTTGAGCATTTCGAGAGTGGGTTATTGCCAAGCGTGTCGAAACTAGGGAATTGAACCATCTTTATCATATAATTGTCTAAAGATAGGTCATTTCATTTCTCAACTAGTATATTTCATCCCTTTCTTTAACACTTGACAGATTGGCTTCTTCACAGAGTCATTATGCCTTTCGGATTGGTCTCAGCGTGGAACAAGAGGCGGAGAAGCAAATCCCAGGATCATGTTGACCCATGTATCTTCTTCTTCTTCTTCTTCTTCTGCTCATTGTTTATTTTCCTTACCCGTAATTATTAATTAACAACAATGGTTTCTGATCATTGTAAAATGTCAAATTCTGAAGTTGAACAAATTGAATACTCTGTTTCAGGGATATACAAATCCGTCGAGCACTGGCAACTTGAAGATCATAATCCATCCCCGAGAAGATTTCATGGGTCATCAGTGTTCACACTCAAGGAAATGGAGGAAGCATCGCATTCGTTCAGTGACGAGAATCTGCTTGGGAAAGGAGGATTCGGTCGGGTCTACAGAGGAATTCTGAGGTCAGGAGAGGTATGTGGGCAGCTTTCCAGAGATACTTRTAACAAAATTACGAGAAAATAAACACTACTGAATGTGAAGTTGATCACAATACCATTAAAGCTCGACTTGCCACTTTATCTAATCCCTGAATTGCATTCCCCAATCAGATTATGCTCTTACGATTTGAATCACAGCTGATGATGAATACTACAAAAACTAATGGACTAAATGAAGCCAAGATAAAAGTTTAGCATCAGATATGCAGATTTTGATGATCTTGTCTTCTCTTTTTCCCTCATAATCCTGGTTTCTGAAGGTAGTGGCAATCAAGAAAATGGAGCTGCCACCGTTTAAAGAGGCTGAAGGTGAACGGGAGTTCCGTGTGGAAGTTGACATCTTGAGCAGATTGGACCACCCAAACCTAGTTTCTCTGATTGGTTATTGTGCTGATGGGAAGCATCGGTTTCTTGTTTATGAATTCATGCACAAAGGAAACCTCCAAGATCAATTAAATGGTGGGTACTGTGACAGTATTCCACAATCCATCATCTATACCTATCGACTGATGCCTATTCATGCGTCCATTTACTTCAGTTAAACCTTTTAGTTACTTAATCTGTGTTCTAGGACTCAGTGAGGAGAAGATGGACTGGCCTTTAAGGCTCAAAGTAGCACTGGGAGCAGCACGAGGGCTTGCTTATCTTCATTCCGGCTCTGCAGTTGGGATTCCTATTGTGCACAGAGATTTCAAATCAACCAACATACTTCTAACTGCAAATTTTGAAGCAAAGGTAATTAATTTAAACGGAAATCGTGTTGGAATTATGCATTGTAGTTGTAACACCAGTTTCTCTTGCTTACCAGATCTCTGATTTTGGCCTCGCCAAGATGATGCCCGAGGGCCAGGAAACATATGTGACCACAAGGGTGCTCGGTACTTTTGGCTATTTTGATCCTGAATATACATCGGTATGTTTGTTCATGGGGTTTGTTAAATCCGAATTGCAATTCTTCATTTATTCTCCTACTCCGATTCTATGTATGTTGTGACTTTCCTTGTGGARGTAATGACCCCTGAATTCTAGATCTTCTAGACAGAGTGCTCCATAACCTAGTTTCAGTGTCAAATCTTAACCCCTGTTTAGAATTCTGGTATTTGAATCAGTAAAAGATGTGGTTGATAAATATTTTAATTGGACAACTTTCTGTGGTTCTAATCTTATTCTGCCCTTTGATCCTCCTCTTTGTGCTTGTGAGGAAGGAACCTTTGTCCAAAGTCCATTGAAAATAATCATAAGAAATAGATTATAGGAAACAGCATTTTCCATCCTACCATAGTTCTTGCGTGGGAGGACTATCCTCCATATATGAAGTGGTCTTTCCATGGAGAACGAATGTTTTGCAATAGGGGTATGAACATTGGGTATTTCGTCTTTTGACAGACAGGGAAGCTCACTTTACAAAGTGATGTCTATGCATTTGGAGTAGTTCTCCTTGAGCTTTTGACTGGGCGCAGAGCAGTGGACTTGAACCAGGGGYCCACTGATCAAAACCTTGTACTACAGGTATAAGTCTTTTTTTTTTCCTCCATTTTTAGAGGTTCTGCAATCTGCTTCTTGAATTTGAAGGTGTCTCATAGCTTCCAAAATGACCAATTGGCCATACACTCTTGACTGGGTACTTTGTGAACTGTTCATCAGGTCAAGCATATATTGAACGATCGGAAAAAATTGCGCAAGGTGATAGACCCAGATATGGTTCGGAGTTCGTACACCATTGAATCGATAACCATGTTTGCCAACCTCGCTTCTCGCTGTGTTCGGACTGAGAGCAGTGAGAGACCCTCGATGGCAGAATGTGTAAAAGAACTCCAGCTGATTCTCTACACAAATACGAAAGGCTTGGGAACAGGGATGCATACGCTCAGAATGGTCTGAAAAAGTTATTAGACAGTATTAAAAAGGAACTGTTTGAATCAAAAGAATGTGCAATTTTACTTGCTTTCACCTAAGTGATCAGAGAAAATAGAATTGTATGGGATAAACTTCAAGCTTGAAGTTTGCCAAATGAATTTGATAATAAAAAAAGAAAAAAAAAAAGAAATTGTTCCATCAACTACTCAAGCTTGGCAAGTAGGAACCTACTTCCTAGAAAAGATAAATAGATATATAATGAAGAAATAAAGCAAATATTTTTGAAACCATGCAATACCATTTGAATTTCTGCAGATTAATATGGCTTTTGGGAGTGATACTCCGGCTAAACAGATTGACATACATAACGCATTGCACCTGAGGTCGGGCATAGCAGGACAGCACGTTCAATGACACAACAAAGAATATGGTTGCAAATATAATTCATTGAAATGGGAGAATAAACGGGACAGCACGTTCAGGACTGCTGATTCATACAATTGACCACCTGCCCTAAAAACATTCAACAGGACCTGCCCATACTTCTTTGATTGTAAAATGCATCGGCTGATTGGACCAACTTCTAGGATCAAGTGAAGCCACTGGACTGAGGTGTAAGAATAGAAGCTAAGGGGAAATGCTAAAAAAAATACAAAAAGAGAAAAAGAATGAAGCTCTTCTTATAAGCAACAGAATGTACAATTTTGTTGATTTTATATGTTGCTCCATAAATCAAGACACATAGGGAAAAACAAGAAATAATTTGCCAGGAAAAACCTGTGGCTGTTATGTTATAGCTTGCACCTTGTTATCCATAGGAAAGCCATATCTTCTGCTAATCCTTTCATGAAGTAGATTCCTCATTAGAACTCGTAATACCAAGTTCTGATTGAGTGTTTGTGACTGGGAGCTTCTTGCACATCAAGTGCTTACGTCGCTGCAAAGTTAAGAGGATCAAGAGATTATCTGTCTTGATAATATTGTAACCAGCTTTAGTGTACATGTTGAATGGAGCTGTATCAATCATTCTGCAATGCAAGTACACCTCTCTTGAAGAAGTTATCTGGGATATAAGTTCCTCGCATGCCTTCAGGAGATGCCACCCAATGCCCCGCCTGAAATTTTCCAATGTCAAACACTTAAAACCAGGTCTGCTTTGATGATCACACATGGAAACATTAATGGCTATGGAGCTGGATTAGCCCGCCCCCCTAGTCTATTCAGAAAAGCATTCAATTGTGAAAAAGATAAGCAATCTGGGGTAGAATTCAATTAACTGCTAATAATTTGACAACTGTGATGCAATCAATCATCCTTCCAGTGCAATCAGGAGCTGTTGGTCATGCAATTGATAAATTTAAGAGGCTTTTAGGTAAACTTCGTACATGATACTAGAAAGCTTATAACCAATCAACCAGTATCATAAAACTGGTAACCAATAAGGGGGTATTCATAAAAGTTCACGGGAGGTTTTTGATTGGTCAAAGCTCTTTTGGTATCATACCTTTCCAGCATCATGGATTTACCCTTCTTAGGGATGTGATTTCTAAAAGAAACTTCACTAAACCCAATAAAAACAAGAATGAAAGGAGAAAATAATCAAGAGTATAGATTTTCCATAAAACATAAATGCCCTTAATAATTAGCTCTTTAACAAGACAATTTGCCATGTGGCTTGATCTCGAGACCAGGAGAACAAAATGCTTAAGAATGTGGTAAGAGTAATTTATTCCCTTGAAACATGGGAGTCTCTCAAAGAACCTCTCTAGAACATATGAATGTTAACACCACTGGTCACATGTAATGCATATAAGTGAGCCAATCACAGCTTTCTTGGAGTTGCATATGTCATTTTGGTTTGTGAAACTAAAAGTCCCTCCTCCGTTCATAAACTCAAAGTACCCTGCCTATGCCTGAAGGTCCCAGGTTTCCAGTTGAACATCCATCCCAATTTAGTTTGATAACATGGGGAAGACCACAAACCAGGTGAAGAATGAAAATTCACCGCCTTATTGTAATATGCCAAAATAACATGTAATTTTTTGTTAAAATATCACCATTCAAGATGATATGAACGTCCAAAAAGGATGTTCACATGCTTAAGAAGTTGTGATTTATGTTTAACCCCTTGCTCAATAACGTAGGTTTTGAAAGAATTTAAGGGGAAAAGGGACCGTAACCATGCTATAGTTATCATACTATTACTCTTTGTGAGCTTTGTATTTCTACTTTCTAGTGCTTTGACTTCAACAAAGTGAAAAAAGAGACTTTTCAACAGTTTCCTTGTCAAACAAGGAAGACTAAAAGTTCCATAAACAGCTAAAAGTAAAAGAAAATTACATAAGTTGTATAATGCTTGGTGATATTTCAGCATAGTTGTTATTCTTTTATATATAACTCTACTCTTAGGAACAAGAGCAAGAAGAAAGGTGACACTAAAACTATCCAAACAAAAAGATCAATTGTTATCGCTTTGAGGCCTTAACAAATTTTAGTGCTTGTAGAGGTGTTCATTGAGGTTCTATCCAGACACAAGATCATGCATATACACCAAAGCTTTGTCTATCCAATTTATCAAATACATAAGCACAGTTCCTCCATGACTAACATTCCTATAAATTAAAACCTCATAATAGTTCAAATTCCATATGAATCAAGGGATAAGTTAGCAAGGATGCTTGTTAACACTGACAATATATAAAGAACCAAGGATAAAAGGCCAACAATATCAATTAATCAAGATATGATACTAATGGGTCATGTTGGAGCTTATGTTGCTTATACTTGGCTCCTGGACTAGATAAACAGATGAAGTGGTGCTTAAAATATAAATGACAGACCAACTTATGAATTATTATTCTATGGGAGTCTTATGACAGAAAAGCAAGAAAACTGAGTCTCTTGATTTAAGTGCCAGTAGGACATGCATAAGTACTTCAGGTTGGGTTCAAGTTCTCYGTTCTAGCTCCATTACCCAAGTGAAGTCATATGCCACAAAGCAGTCAGAGATAGGATGGCAGTATGGAACATGTGGACAACCACCAGCATTGTTTGCCAACTCTAATTGTCAAAGGTAAGGCAATACCAAAATGMTAGGACTAATTCATATAAAGGAGTATAGTTCAACTCCCCATTTTCAAAATTCCGTTAGTTTCTGAACTCTTTCACAAAACTACATAAACCAGTAATACTGTTTATGCATAGACAAGACATTGGAATAATATAAAAGAACAATCTGAGCTTTAGAGCTTTCTCAGTTTTAGTATTTTATAGATAAACATGTTGYGGATGGTAGTCACTTGCAGCCACTTGTGGGTGGTTTGGTTGACCTTCTGCTCCTCTTATGTGCTAATGTTCTGTTCACTACTTATTCATCAAAAAAAAGTTCTGTTCACTATTTTGCTTCAATCACTAGTTTATGAAACTCTCCAATTCCCACTAGATACCAACCATAAAATATATGATCTCATGTGAGATGAAATTTCACTAATAAGAAAAGAGCTTCGCAAAGTTGAGCATAAGATGGTGCAACAGAATCTCAATTTTTGCTTCAGTTAAGTGGATTGTCTCACTAGATGAGTAAGAATTCGATAATACCTAATTCACTTGAGGGAATTGTTCCATTACTTTTTTAGTTCATGTCTATAACCCTATTCGGCTCTTTATCCAATTCTTGCAGGGTGTGTCAACTTTTTCACTATCACCAGCAAGAATTGAAACTACCAAAAACAAAAATGGATCCGGGATATGGAAGCTAATATTGATAAAAATGAATCACCAAGAAAAAAGAAAAGAAATGATAAAAGGTAATATGAATGCTAATATTGATAAGAAGAGTGACATTTTTTATTTTTGAAATGCATAATAAGACTGACAATTAATTCCTTTCGGTCCACCTCCAAATTATGAAACTAATTGCCTATTAGCCCAGTACCCAACAGCATTATTAAAAAAAGGTAAAATTTACCCATCTTTTAAACACAATGAAGATGAATTCAAATCAACAAGAAACCCAAAAATAATCCATTCTTAACCTCAAAGAACCCTATAGTCCCCACTAGAATTGAAGTGATAAAACGGGGAAGAAAGGAAAAAAAAAAAAAAAAGAAAGAAAGAAAAACGAACTAAACTAATTGCTAATCATGGAAAACTACACCCGTGCCCCAGAAGCCAACAAGAAAAGCATACCTTCGAAGCGGTTTCTTCACAGTCATGTTGCATATATACGGGGAATCCTTGGGCGGAGTAGGCGTCGGAGGAGAAGCATTGGCACCCCTCTTATTGAAAGAAACCTCAACTGTACCCACCAGCTCCTCTTCACCACTCTCTCCTCTGTAATATCCAATTAGAGTTGCTGTATGCGGCATTAGAGCTCTTCGTTCAATCATGTACTGCTTCACCAAGAATGCTAATAGACGGACATAGCGGAAAGGCAGCGCCATGGACTCTGCAAATGATTCCGAGAGCAAGCCAACTGTAGCATCCATCTCTTGTGCATCCATGACGCGAACCGACAACGACCCCGTATCAAGTTCATAGGAATATCGGAAGCTCTGTAAGACTTGGAGCTGCTTGAGTTCATCGTTAATTAGAAATCGACCTGTTCTTTGTAGGTCGTTGAGATATGATTCAGCCGAATAAGATGCAGGAGGGGGAAGCGAAGGAGAAGAGGAGGATTCAGAAGAAGAATGGGAGGAGGAGGATGAGAACGAAGGTCTGAATTTACAAGTGTCTAATTTGTGGACGAGGAGAAGAGGGTGAGCAGGTTTAGGTGATATCGATGTGGACAGTGTGTGATATGGTTTGAATAGGGAGAAAGGTTGGTGATGATGGTGGGGAGGGTTTATGCAAAAGGAGAAAGAAACAGTTGCAGCCATGAGCATAAAAGAGAAGAAATGGGGTAAGCCGTAAGTGTTACCGGCCAAGATTGAAAGACTGAAGTAGCGTTGGCATCATCAATCAAGAAGATAAGTACAACATATCATGGATACTTATTCTGGTCTTCTTCTGCTACTTCCGTGCAACGGATCCGACGGAGTGGAGGTGGAGCAGTGCTGCGACTTGGTTGGGAAAATCTCAGCTTTCCAATTCTTCCACCTCATCTTCAATACATTGAAGACAGAGAAATCAGACTGGCTTATGCTACCTATACGCGCGTGCGCTGCACTCAGGTCAGGGGATTGAAAATAGAGCTGTTTGGTTTGACAGAAAGTAAGAAATAAAAATTTGAGAGAAATTTCTTGATAAAAATTCACTTAGCTTTCTTTATAGTGGGTTGTAACGGATCTGATTTGAATCGGATATGGCATGGTTTAAATTTAATCCGACAATATTCGCATCCAAATATAAAATTATAAGTTGGGCTCAGATCAGGCTCTTTTGGAATTGAATACTAGTAATAAATTACCTAGATGAAACCTCCAAATGTTCCATATAGAGAGAGCATTTTGCAGCCCTAATAGATAGATAATTTTATGCGAAATACAAAAGGATGAAAGGGTGTCATTTCAGGCAGCATTACATCCAATCAACTCGAACCAAGATTAAGAAGGAAAGAAGAGTGATTAAATGTAAGACTTGGGTGATTTGGWAATAGTTGAAATAGACGTTCATAGTGGAAAATGAAAAACAATTTAAATTTATAAATGTCTTATTCAGCATTTCATCTCTTGAGMATGGATGACTAGTTATTGAAGTTTGACGAGATATGGGTATTTAGGGTGTATCGATACTTAAAAACACACTTTCAATGTTTTTTTTAATGAGTTTTAAAGACTTTTTTAATGGTTTTTTATTAAGATAAATCAGGGTCCCAAAACACCTATAAATAGGCGTATCAAGATCAAAATATACGATACGATACACTCGATACGGGGCATATTGTATCGATACTTTGAACCTTGTTTTTCGGTAAGTTATTTATCCAAGTAAATACAGTTATTTGGATAAGTTTTAAGTGCATTTATCCATGCTCTTTTATTTCTCATGTAAATAAGGCAATGACCATTTTAGCCATAAAAATCCATTATTAAAAAGGACATTTTTGTCCCATTCAAGTGTTGACAACTTTCCCCCTAGGTGGAAAAGTTATTTATCCACCTAGGAAATTGATATCACTTACCCGGGTAAGTGATACCTAAGAAAATAAACTTTCCATGATCGTCACATAAATTTGAAAAAAAAGAACATGGGGTTCTTGGTCAATGGAAACCAAAATCCCATTGACCAACTTTCCCCCTCTTAAATACGAAAAAAAAACACCCCCTTAAATTTTTTCGTTATATTTAAATAGTACCTCTTTAAATTTAAACCCTTTTAATTTAAAGTTTAAATTCCTTTTTTTTTTTGCATCCCACTTAATAGCCCCTATTTCAGCAATTGCCAAACACTACCTAATAATGAGATCTGATTTGCTGATTTGTTCGGTCACATATTTGTGCACCACCGTCGTACATTGGACTCAGTTTGGAAAGAGTACAAATGCAAATATTTACAGTGCAAATGCATACAGAATATAAGGTTTTGAACTCTACATATTTGCATTTGTACTCCTTCAAAACTGAGCCTTGGGAACATTTACTCATTATTATTATTATTATAGGAAAAATTGCGAAAGGTAAATTTTTAATTAAAAGTTTATTGGAAAAAATGTCTATTTGAAATAAATAAAAATTTATGAATAATAATATATTTAATTTAACAAAATAAAACAATAAATAATCACGACCATTAAGCAATAGAGTGAAAGAGGGAGAGATGACTTTTGTCATTGTATTTTTGTTTTAAATAGTGGAATAATTGTAAATAGTTATATAATAATTAATTTAATAAAATAAATGAGATAAATAGACAATCAAGTGAGAGAGTAAATATTTATAAATATATACATGATATTATGTCTAACTTTGCTAGCAATAATAATTTGTTAGATTATTAAATTATTAACTAATTAAATAATTTAGTAAAATAAGTAAATAAATAAATAAATAAAAACATTATGTATTATCAACACGAGATTGGTAAAGGCTATCTCAAATTATTTAATTAATTAATTTAGCGTTGTTAATGGGTCGGGTTAAACCATGGGGCTACCGAGCCCATGAACAGGCTTATCCTGATTCATGGCCCAGCTTGGCCTAAGACTTGGCTTGCAGACTAGCCCAGCCTGCGACACGACACAAGCCCGTATAGGTCTGAAATAAAATAAAAATTTAATATATATTTTTTAATTTATGTTAAAATCTTAATTATTTTTTTTCAAAATTTTTATAAAACATGGCTTAACTCGGTTTGTGGCCTGGCTTGGCCTAAGACTTGGCCTATGACATGGCACGGGCTCACGTGGGCTCAGGTCATATATTATATACAATAACTATATAATATATACTTTTATTTTCAACTTTATTATATTATTTCATTTTATTATTGCATATGTAAACAATTGTATACATCAAAGTTCATATAAAATAAAATTTTAAGATCTTTTTTAAATTTTATCTATTTTTTAATTTATGTAACTTTTTCATTATTTTTTTTCAAACTTAAAAAAAAATGGATTAGCCAGATTCATGGCCCGACTTTGCCTAAGACTTGGCCCACGGACCAGCCTGACCCACGGCATGGCATAGGCCTACACGGGCTAAGGCCGAGGGCTGTACCAGAGCAACCCCTAAAGTATCCCAGGGGAGATCAGCACGGCCCAACACGGCCTGATTGTAAATAAAATGAGAGATAAAGACAATTTTTAGCAAATATGAAAAAGGTAGAAGTTTAGTTGCATCATTTAAATAGTTAATATTGGCACCATCGTAAATAATTACATGTTTAGTATCAAATATGAAAGAACATTGTTCTTGGTTTTATTCAATGGCATCATTGTAATTAATTAAATTTCTAATGGTAATGATTAAAAGCATGAAAAGGGAAAGATTATAAAATTATAAGATTTCATTAGGTTATATAAAAAAAGATTCCATTGCTTTTAGGTATTATTATTATTTGCTTCTACGTCGTAATTCAATAGTCTCAAAATCAACCTTGGTTCATATCCAAATGTGTATTTTAAAGTGGGCAAATTTCATCTTTTCCCTAAGAATGTGAATCGGTTTCATGTTTTATGTCAAACCAAATTCAAATTTAGCATAAAAGATAAACGCATCATAATCTTTTTAGGGAGATTTTGAAAAGTAAATTTTAATTTAATAGATGCAGATATAAATAATTTAACAATAGGAGAAAATTTGAAATACAAGTAAAGTTTTGCCTGAATGAAATATTATAGTCCAACTGTTAGCACTACTAGAATTCCTACGTTTAGAGGCACTTGGCCCGAGGCGGTCAAGAAAAACTGCCTTTATAACATATTATAGAAAAGGCGGATTTATTGAGGCACTTTTTAATGCCTCTGATTTAGGTTTGGCTTCCAAAAACCATCTCGCACACAAACATCCAAATCTCTTTCGGACTAAAGACTCTTCATGCTCTCGCTCAAAGCAAACATAGTTCCGTCTTTTTTTTCTTCCCCATATCACGAATGTCTCTTCACTGCTTTTCTCTGTTATTTCTTCCTCCTCTCTTTTTTCTTTCTTTTTCCCATTTCTTCTCTTTTTGTTCCCTTTCCTTTCCTCTCCTCTTTTCTTCCTCCTCTCTTCCTCTCCCATACAAATCTGCAAATGTGGATTCTTAGGTTTACTCCACATGAATGTTTTTCATCAGTGGCTTGAACAGGTATTCACTCCCTATTTTACATTTTCTTACTAGCAAATCAAGTAAAATTTAGGGTGGATCTGTAGTTCGAGTACTATAGATAAGAAATTTAGGGTAGTGTATTTTAATTTTTAAAATGGCCACACTAATAGCCTCATGGTGGATGTCTCCTATTTCAGAAAATCAATACGATGACATGCTTGTTGCTATTTAACATTGCAAGCGGTCAGATTCTAGATTCTTGTGGTCTGTTCAAGATCATCCATCGATGGTTTAGAAAGAAATCCACATATTGTGCAATTGTTATCCATTGATTTGGGAGGTCTTGGTGGGACTGCTTCGTTACTAAATCCTAGGCTCAAACTTAATGTATAGATTTAATGAGTGTTAATGGGTTACTCATCAAGTCATCAATTTATTTCTATATGTTGATCACAATATCTTATTTTGTAATCACACGAATATGGAGCTCGTGTCATTTCTACTACTCCAACTATACCTGATGTAGGAGTATTTGGTCAACKCRCAGATCTTGACACGTGGCATCAAGCAGACGTGTCCTAGCCATCCCGTAGACCCTAACACATAGCATCGATCGGACGTATCCTGACCACCCATCACTAACCATTGCCAACTGCTGTCACCTGCTCCTAACTCTTCCTCCTCTCAGGCGACTCTGACTATAAAAAGGGGCTCCCACATTGAGGTAAAGATAGACATGAACTTAAGCTCAAGTCTTCTCTCTTGCTTGGTCCGACCCCCTCACAGTTCTCAATTAACTTAATTGTTGGAGTCTTCACCCATGGGATAACTCCCGGGTCCTCTAACATAGTTATTCTCTTAGGTTGGACCTATCGGCCTCATACTTTGGAAATTACCTTGTTGCCCTCGGATTCAAATTTCGCAGCAACAATTGGTGTTGTCTATGGGAACACGTCTTTGAAACTTTCCCTTAAGAAAAAAACTAACCTAATTTGATCGACTAGCATCCCTAAAATAACGGGTTAGGGATAAGGCAAAAGTACACCTTCGGAAGCCTAGAGATAAGGTAGCAATACACCTTGGTCGACTACCCTCAAACTAACGGGCTAGCCGAGGTCACCAATAGGACAATCCTAGATGGATTGAAGACAAGACTATCAAAGGGCTTTGGGCAGACAAACTGTACAACATTCTCTGGGCATACCAAATGACACCTCAAACTGCCATGGGTGAAACTCCTTTCAACTTGACATATGGAACATAATCTATCATCCCAACAGAGATCGGTTAGTTGATGCTTTGAATCAAGGTCCCGACATACCAACAAAGAGTTGCAAGATACTACAACTCCTGGGTTAGAGAGCGTCACTTCAATGAAGGCGACTTCATCCTCAAAAAGTCATGATCCTTGAACCCAACGTTTGAAAGCTTGGCCC